AAATCAAAGATCAACGCATGCTTTAAATATCCTTAATGTTGATCACTTAAAGGGTGTCAGATGATCAGCTATGGAGGTACTCTTTTCTGATAATATTCCTTTCTCTTAATTAAAAAAAAAAAAAAAAAAAGTTACTGTGTGCTGACCTCCAATGAGTTCTGCACAGTGGTATAGAGGGCATGTCAAAGTGTGGGCAAAGGGTCTGTTTGTTTCTACGCAGAAGATCAAGGCCTAGCTTGGATACCCAGAAAATGAACTAAGATACGATATGAGGAGGAGCTTCCGGCATCAGCACTCTCTGGAGGACTCGTGCCGGGGGATGATCATCAAAAAGCCTCCACAGGGATCCGGACGATGCTGCGGTTGTGGCTGCATCCAGCCCACCGTCTCCTGGACTTGCCATAAGAAGGAGGAGGGAGATGTCTAGGCTGGCATGTGCATACAGTGAGACAACGAATTTGACTGGATCTGTACTGTTGGAACTCAACCAGGAGTTGGGAGGGGTGCAAGTTGTAGCACCCCAAAATCTCATGACTATAGACTATCTATGGTTAAAAGAACATATGGGATGTGAACAGATCCCAGAAATGGGCTGCTTTAATTTGTCTGATGGTTCAAGTACAGTTGGAAAATATCCATCATATCATAGATAAATTTTCACAAATGCCTAGGGTGCCTAAATGGTTTTCTTGGCTTCACTGGAGATGGCTGGTAATTATAGATTTGCTTTGTTTATGTCACCGTATTCCTATTATGTTAATATGTGTGTGCAAATTAGTTAGTAGTTTAAAACCTATACATACTTAAGGTACTATACAAGAAGATATGTCAAAGAAATAATCAATCCTCCCAAGTTTCCTTCATATGCTACATCTATAGCTTTTCTTCTTCCTTCCTAATTACAAACCTTAAATAGAATTCGTGCCTCATATCGAATTTACCGAGTATCATAATTCCTCCAGGTGGTAAAGATACCTCGAGACAAGTGCTGGGCATAGAAGCCACAGGGCATAAATCTGCAAAGAAGTAAAAAGCTAACCTTTGCAAACAATATGGCTTCTCTCTCACTTACCAACTTTACATTTCCCTGTATGGCCCCGGAAGATGACTGGTTAGCCAGAGACGGGTAAGATTCCTCAAGGGAGGAACAACCTAAGACAGGCACAGTCGCAGGGGGGCCATCAGGTGAGAATTTGGGGATCAACAGAGGTGAGGCTCAGAACCTCACCCCCCCTGCTTTGAGAGAAATCTTCTGCATCCGTGGATGTCTTGCTGCCCTTGTCTAGCCTGGATTAATACTTAGTCCATAGGCACACACCTGATCATCTGATCATCTACATTTGCCTTCTTACAGCACTAAACTATGTTTTCTACCTTTATCTTGCATCTACCTACCACTTCAGCATTTTATTAAAAATAAAAATAATAATAATAATAAAGGGAGAAATGTGGCATCCACATATAAATCAAGTATAAAAATCAAACGAATATTCATATTTGACCTGATTGTTTATAGTTCACAATGCGTGATCAAAACCGAAAGTTTTTGTGATGACTGCCCTTGTACTGTTCACCATGTAAGAACTTATTCACTATGTAAGAATTTGTTCACATTTAAGAACTTATTCTTTATGCTTCAGAAGATTGGAGACTGACAAGAATTAGGCTTGAGATGGATTAATGATGGTGCATTGAGCATTGACTCCCTTATACAGAATTTTATTGTGGTTAACAACCATTTGACCAATAAATATGAGAGATGCCTTCTCAAAAAAAAAAAAAAGAAATTAAAGAGGACACCAATAAATAGAAATACATTTCAAGCTCTTGGGTAGGAAGAATTAATATTGTCAAAATGGCCATCCTGCCTAATGCAATCTACAGATTCAAAGCAATCCCTATCAAAATACTGACAGCATTCTTCAATAAACTAGAACAAATAGTTCTAAATTTCATATGGAAACACAAAAGACACCGAGTAGCCAAAGCAATCATAAGAAGGAACAATAAAGCGGGGGGGATTATGACCCCCAACTTCAAGCTCTACTACAAAGCCACAGTAATCAAGACAATTTGGTACTGGCATAGAACAGAGCCATATATGAATGGAATAGAATAGACAGCCCAGATATAAACCCAAGCATATATGGTAAATATATGATAAAGAAGCCATGGAAATACAATGGGGAAATGACAGCCTCTTCAACAGCTGGTGTTGACACAATTGGACAGCTATATGAAAGAGAATAAAATTGGATTACTATCTAACTCCATACACAAAAGTAAATTCAAAATGGATCAAAGACCTGAATGTAAGTCATGCAACCATAAACCTCTCTTGAATATAAACATGAGCAACTTTTTCATGAACGTATCGCCTCAGGCAAGGGAAACAAAAGCAAAAGTGAACAAGAGGGACTACATGAAACTGCAAAGCTTCTCTACAGCAAAGACACCATCAGCAGAACAAAAAGGCATCCTACAGTATAGGAGAATATATATACATAAATGACATATCTAATAAGGGGTTGACATCCAAAATATATAAAGAGCTCACACTCGTCAACACCCAAAAAGCAAATAACCCAGTTAAAAATGGGCAGAAGATCTGAACAGACACTTCTCCAAAGAAGAAATTCAGATGGCCAAAAGGCACATGAAAAGATGCTCCATGATCACTAATCATCAGAGAAATGCAAATTAAAACCACAATGAGATTTCACCTCATACCATTTAAGGATGGCCAACATCCAAAAGACAAGCAACAACAAATGTTGGTGAGGATATGGAGAAAGTGGAACCTTCCTACACTGCTGGTGGGAATGTAAATTAGTTTAACCATTGTAGAAAAGCAACACAGAGGTTCCTCAAAAGACTAAAAATAGAAATACCATTTGACCCAAGAATTCTACTCCTAGGAATTTACCCAAAGAAAACAAGATCTCAGATACAAAAAGACATATGCATCCCTATGTTTTTCATAGCACTATTTACAATAGTTGAGATATGAAAGCAACCTAAGTGTCCATTAGTAGATGAATAGATAAAGAAGAGGTGGTATATATACACAATGGAATATTATTCAGTCATAAGAAAACAAATCCGATCATTTGAACAACATGGATGGAGCTAGAGGGTATTATGCTCAGTGAAATAAGCCTTGTGGAGAAAGACAAGTACCAAATAATTTCCCTCATTTGTGAAGTGTAAGAATGAAGCAAAAAAACTGAAGGAACAAAACAGCAGCAGACTCACAGACTCCAAGAAGGGACTAGCAGTTTCCAAAGGGGAGGGGTGGCACAGGGTAGGTGGGAGGGTGGGAGACAGGGATTAAGGGGTATTATGATTGGCACATATGGTGTTGGGGGATCACAGTGAAGACAGAGTAGCACAGAAAAGACAAGTAGTGACTCTGTGGCATCTTACTCTGCAGATAGACAGCGACTGTGGTGGGGGTGCAGGAAATCAATAATATGGGTGAATTTAGTAACCACAATGTTGCTCATGTGAAACCTTCATAAGAGTGTATATCAATGATACCTTAATAAAAAAGAAAAAAAGAAAAAGCAGCCTGGGTTTTTGGCTGGCTTAGGTTGAATGACTTCCTCAATGTCTGTAAGATATGATCTTGGCTGTTTCAGTTAATCAATTAATACTAGGTCCCATCTCTATAATGAAAATAATGACAACTTACATCATGCCAAAAGTGACATAAATATGGTTTGGTAAACTTCCTCACACAGAACAGCTCTATAATAAATATTGGCCCCACTACCAATAAATAATGTTGTAATCTATAGAGGCATAGAGCAGATTAGTGGTTGCAGGAGACAGGAAAGAGCCTAAAGGAAAATGGGTACAAGGTATCTTCTTGGAGTAATAAAAAAAATGTTGTAAAATTTGATGTGGTGATATTTGTAAACTCTATACATTTACTAAAAGCCACTGAATTTTATATTCCAAGTGGGTGAATTTTATAGTTTGTAAATTATGCCTCAACAAATCTGTTTTGTTTTAAAGGGCATGGGAGGGATGAGGGGGTGGGTATTAAATGAAGAAAGATGGACCATGATAATTGCTTCAGCTGGGTGATGGGTACATGGAGTTTATTAAGCAATTGTCTTTACTTATGCATATATTTGAGAATTTCCACAATGAAAGAAAACTTGAGAAAAAGAATGTTCCAATTAATGACAATTAAGTTTTATAATTTTACAACCTGATGGTCAGCAAAAATGAATATAATGTGCCTAGTTTCTTAAACTAGATACAAGGTATAATTTCTTAACAAAAACAATGCTGGTAAGAAATAAGAATGAAGGGTGAATGAAGGCCACAGGCCAGGCTTCCCACTGTTACTGAGAACCACTGGTTAGCTGGAGGTTATTCTGATATTGTTGCAACTGTTCTTTATATTACCACGGATATAACTTTGCCTTTGCTAAGTTGTAAAGATGAAACATCTTCTTTTACTGAAAATTCAACATAAATTTAAAGCACATAGTGGAGGGTTCTGAAAACAGAGACCATGGAAAACCAAAGCATTTACACTCAATGTGTTGCAAACTAACCTTTGCCCATCCAGTTCACACCAGTTTTCTACCAAAATTTAATCCTCTATTTGAATTCCTCTGAATATCAGTGTACAATCTATCACACAACAAAAGGCTGTAACTCATTGCCCTTCTCTCCTTTATTTTCCACATTATTATTCAGCATTTTCTATTAATTATACCCCTTGACATTTACATATGCATCTCTTCTTTCCACTCACAAGAACACAAGTTTAGATCACATCACCTTCATAAAGATAACTGAGATCATCTCCAACTGTTATTGCTACTTGCCCCTCTCCACACTTTCTATATTAGTCATTCTCAATCTGCTTTTACGGGAAGTATAATGAAAGATGTTTACAAGTACACAACCAGGTTTTAATTAAATGGCCAAAAAGCATGTAGATAAAGTAGCAATTTATTCATAGGTATTACTTTTAGTACCTTAGGAACAGACACTTTCAAAGGTCCAAGCAGTGAAAAAGTAGGCCATGATTTTGGTGTAATTACAGTCCAATGGCACTGCTGCTTCTTCTCCAATAAAGCAATCTAGAAAATAAATATAGCATTTATTTTCTTTAAAAAAGTAGCATTATTAATAAAAATCATCTAATACAATGGCCAAATCATTTTCAGCTTACATTTTTCTACAGCTCCTCATTGTCCACAAAATAGAGTACTCCCTCATCTGGGTCACGCCTGTATCTTCAAACTTGATTCTGGCCATGTTCCTAATCCAATTTTACATTCCAGCCCTAGTGAACAGCTTGAACTTCTCTAAATGTTTTCTTGTATCTCACATTTTTAGAACCCCAAGACTAGTTGTAAATAGATGGTGTTTAATATGATGAATTAAAAATTCATATGTTGTAAGCTATTGGTGAAAAAAGAATATTCTCTGCATGCTATATAACAAACTAATGGAATTCTGAGGAAATTCAGGGGCATAATAATAATATTATTATTATTATTATTCTAATCTTAGTTATCTTTACCACAGCTAAAATTATTTTGTATTTCGACTCCTAATTTCCAAATTTGTCTTTGGATTTGGAATTTTTACCATCTGACCTTAGTATATCTAAACCATATTATCCATTAGAACAATGAAATAACTGCAAAATAATATTATACCATATGTAATGTTCATTATCACTTGATACACAAACTAGTCCTAAGTTATGTGACTTAGTAGTTACATTTTTAAAGAAATCCACATGATTTTTCCTGCATTTTAATTTAAAACTCTTAATTTCAGAATATTTTTAAAGTACTTAAAATACAAATATCTCTATAAAATCATTTGTGTAAGAAAAGCTAAAATGTAGAAGATGAAGAGAAAGAAGTAAAAGTGGTAAAGGAAGGAAAAGAAAGAAGATTGTGCTTACTGATCTAGATTCTTGGTTTTGCCAATATTTTAAAAATAACTTAGAATTGTCTTATTATTAAAACTAGTGTAATGGAAACAAACATGCTATTTATGGTAGTGCTGTCTGAAAATTAGTAAATAAATGTGACCAATCTGCTAAACTCTTTAATGAGTCTGCTTTTGCAATGTTTTGAGATTAGAGGTTATAAAGACATGGATTTATTTCTCTGCAAAAACTGAGAATAAGTTGGGGTTTCACAGGTTAATGCAGGAAAAGGGGATAAGGAAGACATTAGGAACATGATGGGTAAAGAGGTTAGCAAACTAGTTTGAGACAGAAGTACTGTATGATGTGACATGGTCAGTAAAAAATCCTTATTTGTCAAGTGGCTAAATAAAGACTTTTAAGATGGAAATATCCAACTTTAAAGTTGTTTATATTGTGAGGATATTACACCCCCAAATTCATGCAGTCACATACCTGTCTCCTAAACTTGAGCAGGCATACGGTTGAGAGAGTTCCATTTGTTTGTTTGTTTGTCTGTTCCCTTGATGTAAATCATGGACCAGTGATGAATTCTAGCTCAGAGGCAAGAGAGAGAATAAACAGAGCACTCTCTTAGGGGAGGTGAGATAATCCATAACCTGAACCAAACCAACAGAACCAGGGGCTCAGAGCAAGAGGAAACTGAAGAATGAAAATCCTGGGCAAAATCACAAGCGCCAAAGAGCACTGTGGGCCTGTGACAGGTCTGAAATGGAGGGTCAAGCTAAGTCTACCAGCTTCCACAGAGGCAGCGAGACCACGGCTGATAATCACGCTACATTTTTTCCAAAAATTTCCCACAGCCACCAAATACTAACAGGCCTACGTGTTATTTGCTGCATATCAAAAAATGATACTTCACTTGATATTTAAGAGGAGTCACAATAGGAGTAGAATTTCTTGGTTCATGGGCAAAAATCAATGGATTTGATAGTGATTATCAACCCACACAAAGCAGAATTATATAAATCTGTCATATAATTATCAAGTTGTTAGTATTATAATCCTCTAAATCTATGCCACTCATAATAGATTAAAAGAAATACAGCTATATTCATACTTCATTCAAAAAGATATTGAAAGGAAACACCAACTGTTAACAAAATTTCCTCTGGATAATAAGACTGCCAAAAATATTATTTTGCCTCCTTTGTCCCAATCCATACAAACTTTTTTCAAAGTATTTTTATTTTTCCTGGAAAACAAGTCATAATTTTTAATTGTTCATGAACATCTTAATTATATGGATATAGTTGGATGTAAAATGCATACCTACAGCAGTTTTGATAGGGAAAATTTACAAGGACAGCAACCTAGCTGGTGACTCCACTCTGTCTCGCACCCCTCCTTCCTCAACATAAACAACACTACAAGGACAGTAATTTATGAGGTGGCTCCCCTCTGCCTTGCCCCCCTCCTCAACCCAAACAAACAAATACACTCCCTTGGTTTCCCACTCTGCAGAGCACCAGGTCCCAAGGCTCACTCCCTAAACTCCCTCCCCCTTGCCTGCTCACTTGCTGTGCACCTAAGAATGTTACAGATAAGGAAGCAGAAAGGTATGAATTGCTCCCTTTTCCTTTTTTCGGGGCTCAGACTTTTTGGGAGATCACTCCCCTCTGAGCCCGCCAGTGTGAAATAAAGCCTCAACACTACAAGAACTCCAAGTGCCGCTTGGTTTTTTTCCCGTTGGTGATCCAGTCCAGGCTTTTTTCAGTATTTTCCATAACAGTTTCATGATTATTCTAATTTACTAAGTCTATGCCACTGTGAGATTTCCAAATAAGAATCTGTATATATCTGTCCTTTTATTAGTTTTTCATTTTCTTACAACTGGAAAGAAGACAAAGAGAAAGATGATCTTTTGACAATAGAGTTTAGCCTTTCTCTCAGACTAAAGCAACATTAGTCTTCCACTGCAATGTTATTGCTCAAGAACTGAATCATTTGAAATTGGATAATCCCTACCTTACGTGATTCACAGTTTTAAATGCTGAAGCCTCCCAGGTTGCTGCTGTATTTCTCCTCACATCAGTCTCAATAACATCCTAGGCAGTCATCATTTATTTATTTATAATTGTGTTGTTAAGGATGGAAATATATGAAAATTGTAGAAAACTGCAGTTGCTCTACTGGTCAGAATCTGCACTCGAATTTTTAGGGTTATCCAATAAAGACCAAATTATTTTGTTGAGCAGAAACAGAAAAACATAGTGTCCAGCTGTCAACAGTGGAAAAAATGGAGGTGTCATTTCTTAATAATTTAGGAAACTACAACATATCTTTTCCCAGGCAACTTGTTTGTGTGTGTGAGAGAGAGAAATAGAGAGGGAAGGGTGGAAAGAGAAAGATAGCACTGTCAAAACTACACAACTTACTTTAAAAAAAAATTCTGCTTCCAAACTTTAATAATCTATTATTTTTCTTTCTCAGATATACAATGCACTCAAAAGCCTTTAGGATTTCACCAACTTTTTCTTCAACCTAAATGCCAATCCTTGCTTCAGTGATTCAAAAATTCTCATTATTTCTAAAGGATTCAGTTCAAATTCAACTTTTTCTGTGAAATTTCTCAGGATGCTTTAGGTAGATTTTCATGCTCATATTTCTATTCAAGCAGTTTACCCCTTAAAGACAGTTATATTTTATTGAAATTTATTGTATATGTCTTAAAGGATAGAGAGATGAGAGTTTCATCTTTGTATTCCAAAGAACAAGCACAATAAATGCTCTTGAAAGATGGATCTTAGGAGTATGACTATCTGGTACTAACACTCTAACACTTACTAATTTTGCCTTCCTACACCTCCATTTCTTTTATCCTAAAACTATAATGTTGATAAATTCTATCTCATAGGGATGTTGTGAGGATTAACCCATATACTATTTATACAAAACTTGGAAAAAGGCCTGGCACATAATAAACACTCAATAAACAGTAGCTCTTCTTTTAATAACCAAAACTACCTTTGCCTCCGTGTGAATCATGAAGTAAATTTCACCTGTCAGATGATAGATAAATAAATAAAACAGATTAAGCAAAAATGAAATAATTTCACTTACTTAAAAATAAAATGGAAAATTTAATACACATTATAAATGAACATGGTTATTTATCCTACTCATTCTATACTATCTGAATTAAAATGGAAAACCACTTTTATCAAAAAAGTTTTTATGATTAAACTATTTTTTTATTTACTTCTTGTCATTTTGTGAAGTTTTTTAAACTAATTGAATATAAAATTATATCCCTTATCAGATTTCTGATAAGAAAACACAGAAATAACATACTCTTGAAGTTTCCTTCATTATCAATCACTTTCCATGAGATTCCCATTGAAGGTTCTTATATTATTATATAGAGAGGAACAAAATCATAATTATAAATTAGTCATGGGATGAAAGTACAGCACAGAATGTGATTAATAATACTGTAATATCTTTCTATATTGACAATAATTATACTAGTTGGGGGGAGCATTTAATAATGTAGAAAACTTTAAATCTAAACTTTAAAAAGAGAAGGCCATCAACTAGAAAAATTTGAATTCCTGAACTTTAAATATAAAATTTTTAAAAAAAAGATTCTTTTCTGAACTAGAGAAATTTAGATTCCTAGTAAATTCCTCCAAGAGGTGTTTAATGTCACTGTCACAGATGACTGTATTTTTATGTCTTTAATTTCACCTTTAAGTTACCAGTGGATCATTAGAGGCTATGCATGACATTCTTTTAAATGTAGTAAATCTAGCTGAAAATATAAATCATTAAATAGTAAGCCCATCCCAACTAAGGTAAATTTAGGCTGTCTTTACATCAAGAACAAAATTCCAAACATTCTGATACAGTTATTTCTTAAAACTAAAAAATAAAAGTGCAGAAGTATTTATTACAAGTAATATATGACCTTAAGTGTATGTGATGCATGTAGGAAATCTGAAAGTAGATCAAAGAAGTGGTTATCATCAAAAAGCTGAAAAATAAAAATTTTGGGAATAGCACAACACTCATATATCTTTCTTCTAAATCTTGTAGATGTTACTTCCCTCTCCAAAATTCAGTCTAGTGGTTTAGAAAATGCTTGAATGCATTGAGCCAATTAGAAGTATTTCCTCTACTTCTAAACTATCATTAAATTAAGAAAAGAAATGTAAAAATGATTTTTACCATTACCTGTAAAAAACATATTTGTGTGAACATATGCACACATATATACATAGCAAGGACATACCTCAACCACATTATCTCAGGAATGTTGGAAATGTTAGAAACAAATGAGATCAGAATAAGACTTGTGATAGTTGGAAAAATCAGCCTAAGATTCAACATAGGTAAAAGAGGAGACTGCCTAGAAAATTCCAGGAGACAGTGGATTTCTTCAGGAGAAGGATTTCTCCAGTCAAGCACCTTGAAAATTCCAGAATCAGGAAACAGAAGCTTGGAATAATAGTGCATAGTTGAGCGATCTGGATGCAAATTAAAAACAAATCACTTAAGACTCATGTCATCAAGACGGCAGAACAGGAAACCCAGCCTTGGTCCCTCCACAAAGATCAATAATTAGATAGCTATCCATGAACAAAACCAGCTCTGGAAGAACTGTGGAGTCCACTCAAGAAACTTCAACAGCATGGAACCAAAATCTTGAGAATAACCACACAAAAAAGGGAAGGAAGAACAGCTTCATTTTGCATGCATTAATCCCCCAGGCCACACTGCTCAGCGCCAACAGAAAACACCCCTGCTAGAAGAGTTCCTCCTTAAGAAAGGGAGACTGGAGCAAGAGACTGGCTTCCCTAGCCTTTCAGGGCTTCCCATGAATGACCTGATTCAGTATCACCCCACCCAGACATCAACAAAGCTGAGGTGTACAGAGAAGGCTTGAACAAGGAAGAAGAGCAGGAGCTACCAGTATCAGCCACATACCAAAAGCGACCACAGTTTCCAGGGGCCTCCAATGTGGAGGACCCGGCAGCTTACACCACTGAAGAAACCAATGGCCAGTACAGACACTGCGCACCTCCTGCAGACTTCACGGGTTTTCATTCCACCTATCTTCCTGTTTGCTGATGCAAGCTGCCTGAGTCCCTTGCTGCTCCCACCCCTACCATGATGAGTACTGGGGGATAGGGCACTTCTTTAGTCATTTGTTTATATTGATTATCAGTCCTCTATTATTCCAGCCCATATGGGACCTTTCAGATCTATCACTCTCTACCACTTCTACAGCATACATTGGGTACCAAGTCTTTACTGAAGTTAGAATTCCCTGGACTAAAATCAGTTTCCCTGATGTACCTGGTGCCCATTCTCTCTGAGGACTGCGTTTGAATGTCATTGCTGGGACACAAGGAGTTAATTTCAGTTGTACATGAAACCCACAGACCTTTCATTCCTATGCCCAGCAGAAAAGGAAATTCTTTGTAGTCTGTAGGAAATCCCTCTGCATTCCATGGAGGCTCTTTTCCTTTCATTGGGCCCTATTCTCTTCAGTGAGCTTAAGCTTTAGGAAACAAAAATCTAGGATATAAG